GTCTTTTCCTTCATATCTTTATAGGTTTTCCTCAACAAAGTTTGTTCAATACCTTTCTACATTTTATATTTATTACCACAAAGTTGTTTACAGGTATCAACACAGGAAGTACTTTAAATTAGAGTTGAGCTTCATGAATAGTCCTGGCAGTGAGCACATACAGGGAGGTCAAGCTCCACTGAGATTCCCACTGATGCTGGTAATAAAAGCAACACTATGCCCCTGATCTTCATTTGCTCCTGTTGACAAATGGACTGCTCTGCTACAGGCTTGGACAGAGAGTAAAATAGGCTTAGGAAAGCACAGCAACTGATGGAAACAGATGCAGAGACACACAGCAAACATTAAATGGAGTTCAAGAAGTCCCGTTGGAAAAATTGGGGAAAGATTGAGGAAGCTGGAGGGGATAAGAACTCCACAGGAACAACAGAGTCAATTAACTTGGACCCTTAGGGAATCGCAAAGACTGAACTACCAACCAAAGAGCACACATAGACTGGACCTAACCCCCTACACTAATGTGGCAGATGTGCAGCTTGGTCTTCATGCGGGTCTCCGAACTACTAAAGTGGACGGTGTCTGTGACTCTGTTGCCTGTCTGTGGATCCTGTTCACCTCACTGGGCTGCCTTGTCAGTGGAAGAGGTTGTCCCAGATCTCCAGTGACTTGAGGTGCCACTTTAGGTTGGTACCCAAGGCCCCATCCCTTCTAAGAGGAGATGAGGAGGGGAATGGGAAGTGCCATTTGAGGTAGGGACTGTTAAGAGGAAGAGACTATGATATGGATTTAAAGTGAATAAATATACAAATTAATAAAGACAAAAAAGAAAAAATACTTTCACTTTAAAAATAAAATAAATAATAGGATAAGATATATATGCGTGCATTCCCAGTAGACTTATATCACCACTAGCAGACTCAAGGGAGCCTAATTTGAAAAACTTCTTCAAGGAGATTTGTGTGTGAATTGTGTTGAAAAGCTTATTTATCTTGGCTGACTGAAAAAAAGTGGTTCTGTAATCTAAGACTAAGAGCTTCTCCTTCTGTCAATTTTACAATGGTAAATAAAATTTGAAAAGTTTAAATTAAAACAAATAAAACTTCAGAACTGTTTTCATAGTGCTTCATTGTAACTACCACAATTGTTTTCAAAACTTAAGTTCAGTTATCAGGAGATGGTTATTATTGTAGAGACGATACACATGCTCTAGGACCTGAACCCAATTACATTGAATCCATATGAAATAGCAGCTGCCTATAACTGTTACCATGTTCTTGGAAGGTAAAGACAGTAAAGTTTCCCGGGCTTGCTGTTAACCCATCTACCTAATCAATGAGCTCTATATTCAATGAGATAATCTATCTTTAAAATAGAGTAGAAAGTAAGTGAGGAATTCATTCAGTGTAGGCCTTTATATACATTTATACATATATGTACAATTGCACATGTAGAAGCACATCACATATACATACATGAACACATATACATGCACATGTTGACACACATACACATTCATACTAACACATAAATATGTACACACAATACCCTACACTGTACACACACATGTACAAGTATTATCATATATGTATAGTTTTTGTAATCAAATAATCTGACAAAGGCTGCTTAAGGGAAAAAGGAGTTTTCTTATTCTAGCTCATGTCTCTTTGAACATTTCAGGCTTAGGCGTACCTGCATTTTTTAATGAATGCCAACTCATGACTTACAAACATTCCTTTCTTATCATTTGTTAGCCCCAAACTTCTCCTATTCCTTTGCTATTTGTGTTGTTCTAGAGTTCAAATAGTTTTTGTACATGCCTCACAGTACTGTTTCTGTTCCTGTATTTGTCTTGTCTTTCCTAAAAATAGTTTTAAGACCTTCAAGAAGTGGCTTCAACTTCTTTCTTTATTAATGTATACACAACAACTGTAAAAGTGGCCACGTACAGAAACAAGAAGATTTGCATTAATAGAGTGGCATTAATAGCATCCTGTGATGACCTACCTGTAAATGTGTGAAGACGGAAATTACTAAAGCAATGGTTTCTGATTTAAATTTTTCCTTAGCGCAATTTTCTCATTTCAGTGTGAATTTGAGATACACTTACAGATAATTTATATTTCTTTCTGTGTATATGTATTTATACATATGTGTTTCTGTGTGTATATGTGTGTACATCTGTATGTAATTTTGTGTGGTGTGTGTGTATGAGTGTGTGTGTATGAGAGAGAGACAGAGACGAAGTATGTGCACAAGTATTGATAAGAAGTAATATTTAAACATTATAAAATCTAGACTGGAAATACATAACAGAAAAACAATAACCAAATCTAGGGATAGAAGTAAGAATGCAAATACCCAAGAGGCTTTCAGGAGACAAAATAAATGAGAAGAGTATACAACTTGGTGCTCAGCATTCTAGTTAGGTAACTTTGATGAAAATATCTTCATTTTGACCAAGTTAAGAATCAAGTAGAAGACACCTGATTAGGCAGATCAAGAGTAAGCTCCTTGACTTTTATCAGGTAGTTTTAGATCTCAACTCTTAGATTTCTGAGAAATACATTCATGTTATAGCATGAGATGACAGTCTGGTCTCTAAAACTAAAACTACGGAGTTTATTTATTATCTTTTTGCCGGTCATGACTCAGCATAAAATTACTCTTGCTGTAGATGGAGCTCTGTAGAAAAGAAGTGAATGGAACAAGATTTAAATATCATTGATAACATTTTAATGCAATCAAGACAAAAAAAATATATAAGAACAGGGTTCATGGGAAGCTAAATCTGGCAAGATCTGCACTGTGACCAATCTAGCAGTTCCAATGGAAATGCTGACCAGATAGAAAGTGGGATAATTGTGAGCAGTGGATCACTGTAAACTGAGTAACAGTCCTCTACGGTATAGGACAAGGATTTACACTGAGCACCCTGCTATAGGAAACAGATGCCTAAAAGGGACAGCACATCATGTAAAATCAACTGGTTGACTAATATTGCCTTCATGCATGGATGTTATAGGAATCTTAAAGGAATCTCAAAGGAACAGTCCTCTTCAATTTGCTAAGTAGACTAGAATTCATGCTGATTCAAAATCACTCAGGCTAAATGCAACAGTGGCGAAATGAGGAGATAGATCAGGGAACATAAAAATGATACAACTTGTCCTAAGGGTAGGCAATTAGCTCACCCTCAGAGAGTACACTCTGTACAATTCTCTCGTATAGATAGGATGCTGGGGGTGAGTGTGCTGCAGAGACACAAGCTGCACATCAGGCTTGGAATGTTTCGCTTGAGGCTCTGAAATTTTTGTTAAACTTGCGATGTTGAGAAATGGGGAGTCTGTGGGGAGGAGATTACTCATGCAGACCAGGGATCTTTCCTAAAATACTGTTGACAGATAAACAACTCCAGAGCATAGGACCAACCAAGACATTGTCAAAAGGTAGAAGAAATTTGGAAGGGCAGTAGACCTGGCAGATCTAAATTAGCCCTGCTTCTTCTTGGCCATTAGCCAGATGCCACCTCTCAGAGTCCCAAGTGAAGGAAGCTAAACAGTTTACATTATAGAATTGAAAAAGAAGTACCAATGACATCCTTGCTACTCTAGACAATCTTGTGCTTTGGTAGAAATAATGGGTATAAGCTTGAGACTTTTTCTTAATCAGAAAGTGAGTTCATGGTTTATTGAGCAGATAACAGAAGGTCAACAAAAGTGTGGCACCTCTGTACAGCTTCCATTACAGAAATCCAGCCTTTACTCATTTGAGGAATCTGAAAGGATACTAAATACAGCTCTTTATGAAGATGTGAGAATGTACTTACATGTAGGGAAAGGGATTCCTGAGAACCACATATTTATTGAATTAAATCCCTGAAATCAGAGCTTCCTTACCAGGAGATCTTAAACAGTCAGGCTTCTGAAGTCCCTCACACCATTCTGCAGCTGTATTTCCTTATGCATCAACACCAGAAATAAGTGGTTTAAGCTAAATTCTTTAGGCAGTACATACTTTCTTTCAACAATATGGGGATATTTGATTGACATTGAGATGGAAGACCACTCTACGTTGACTTGCTAAAAGAGTCTGGATGTCACTATGGTGGTGTTGCTGTTGTTTGGTTTCCTGTTTTTAAAGTTTTTGGGTTTTTTGTAGAATTGTCACTGGTGGTACTATGGCCCTAGTGTTTATACTAGCAGTAAGTATATAAAACTACATACGCTAGGACAATAGTGGCACAGCTGTTTTGGGTGCAATGAAAAAAAAAAAACTTCTGATATGATTAAGACCAATTGGAAGGTACAAATCCATACTTTGTATTTTACAGCAATGCACAATCCTTTCCTTGAGAGGCCATACATTCTAGAGAGGAGTTAACAAAATTTTTCTGCTAAATTCATCTTATCTCTTTCAAACTGACTTCTAAATGTCTAATTTAAGCATGTCAATTATTATAACTGTTAGCTTATTTCTTAGAGAAACACTCTTCAGAGTAGTCAGTGATTACTAGCAGAGATTCATGAAAACACTACAGATAATTTACTAATGCCATGGCATGGTAATCAAATATTCAATAAAAAATCCCTCTCTGTCCATAAACATTAGATAAAAGATGATAGAAAGAATACAAGCCTCTAAAGAAGGGGAAGTGATTATGAACAATAATTAATAATGGTATGACTTGACCATCCGTTATCAGGCAGCAGAGATTTCAAAAATAATTTGCACAAGAATCAACATGTAGAAACAAGCAAAAAGAAATCATCCAGACACAGATAACTGTGTTGTAATTAAATAGTTAACATTCCCTGAAGATAGACAGACATGGTTCATGAATGAGGGATTCTCTACGTGACTTCTTGCTGTCTCACGGCTGTGCATGCCCTCAGGGGTATCTGCTAAACTATATAGGGGGAGGAGAACTAGCCAATTGTACGACTCCAGTGAAGCAGCTCTCCAGAGTCAGAACACATCCTGCTTGGGAAGTCCTGGGCAATAATGCTGCCATTGAGTCAGCCTCACTTCTGTAAGTAAACTCCCTGCTGTGCCTCTCTAAGTTAAAGTATCCAGTTCAGTGATTCTTCGAGTTTTTTTTAATGGAATTCTTTTTTTTTTTATTCTTTGATTTTCTAATTTTTGTGATTAAGTTTTTGTTCAAATTTTACTAAGAGGAGAATTAAGAATAGGCTTTCAAATATCTTTTTAAAATGTTTTCTTTTTTAAAATTTAACCTTTTTTTTATTTAACCTTTTTTTTACAGTTGAGATTTTATCACCCTCCTAGTCTACCCCTCTGACTGTTTCACATTCCATACCTCCTCCCTCCATCTCCAGGAGTATGTCCTTACACCTTCGTCTCCAATCCCACCAGACTTTCCCACTCCCTGGGGCCTCAAGTCTCTTGGGGGTTAGGTGCTTCATCTCTTACTGAGTCCAAACCTGACAGTCCTCTGCTGTGTATTTGTTGGCACCTCACTTCAACTGGTGTATGCTGCCTGGTTGGTGGCTCAGTGTCTGAAAGATCTCTGGGTTCCAGGTTAGTTGAGACTAATGGTCCTCTTACAGGATCACCCTCCTTCTCAGCTTCTTCTAGCTTTTCCCTAATTCAAACACAGCTTCTGTCCACTGGTTGTGTGTATAAATCAGCATCTCACTCTTTCAGCTGCTTGTTGGGTCTTTCAGAGGGAAGTCATGATAAGCCCATTTTTGTGAGCATACCATAGCCTCAGTAATAATGTTAGGCCTCGCCCCCACCTCCTTGAACTAGATCCCAATTTTTCAGGGCACAAGAGACAATTGGATTAGCATTACTCAACATCTATTAAATTGAGATATGCTTCAGTGTTCCAAGATATTCTGTCTTCTGTATTGAACTGAGAGAAAAAGAAGGAAAGCATTGCTGGTATCCAATGAATGCAAATGATGGGGAACATTAAGTAGTTTCTGATGTATGGGACACCTTCCAAAACAGATATTACAGTTCAAAAGGAAAATGTTTTGGAGCTTGAGAAACTGGAAATTACTAAGGATATAGTCAGTGGCTCCAATTTGTCTTATCTCAAGGCAAAAGAAAAAGAATTGTGATTGTGAATATTTTATATGAGTTTTCCTATTGAAATACATCTGATGACTCTTTATATTCTGATGCCAGAAGTAGTCAAAGATGCCAGATTGTATCTTATAGTGTTTTCCAGTTTAGCACAAGCCAGTGACATCAAAAAGGAAGAGAAATGGGCTGCTGACAAAACACCATAATTTGTAGGCAATATCTGCTAAATGAAAAAAGAAGATGATAGCAAAAATAATTTTTAAATGAGCTAGGAAGACATTTTACAAAAATAATTTTTAAATGAACCAGGGAGATATTTTTATATTTCTATTTATTCCTTGAGAATTTCATGTATGACTACTGTATTATATCACTCATCCAACTCCTCAAAAACCCTTTTCCATGTTTCCATTCAAATTGAGAGACTTTTTTCATTAATCAGTATTGTTACATTTGTAAATGCATATAGACGACCTATTAATTCCTTTAATGTTGTTCATATGCCTATTGTTTTAGGGCTGGACATTTGGTAATGAATAATCAAATAATGAAAATTTTTTGCAGCAAAAATTCTGGACTTTTAGTACTTATATTCATTCTTCATCTTACTCTACTATCTTCCCTCAGCCTGAAGTGAAAGGCTCCTGTTGTGGTGCCTCATGGGTAGCTATTTGGAAGTTGTGGCTAATCCTGATCATTGTCACAACTTTTAAAATTGGGTGTTATAGAAAAAGAGAAAACAGACTGAATCAAGCTTCTAAAACTCCTGCTATGACAACATAGTGATAAAATTTATTCTTTCCAAGTAATAATGATCTTTGATAAAACAGTCTCAATGTCTGTGTTCTCTCCAGGAAAGTTGTGGAGTGCTATGACAAAGTGAGGGAGAAGATACTAGCAGTTCTTGTTCTCACTTCTATACTATCAATAATATGAAATTAGGAAAAAAATTTCACCACATAATACATCGCCTTTATGAAAATATTCAGATGACAATTATGAGAATCAAATCTACATACAGAATTAATTATTCAGATCAACTTTAAAGAAAATGATCTGAAGTATTTGATGCAATAAACTCTGATAGAGTTTTATCATAAGTTAACAATTGCAAGCTGATATCATTTTCTCAGAACCTTCTCATCCTCTTCTATAGAGTGATCATCGTCTGTTTATTTATTTTCCAACATGTAGAAGAAGCAAGCAGTTAAACTGTGGTGTCCTTGTCCCATCAGTGTCGAAAACATTGACATCAGACATGAAATTCAAAAATTACAAATTCCTAACGAGTTTTGTTAACTGAAAATGAACTTAAACTTCAGTGAAACTAAACCATCCAAAAATTAGTTAAAATACAATACAGAATTTATTCAAATGTCAGACATTTGTAAAATTCAGAAGCACTTCTGAAAAAATAAAAAAAAAGTAAAACCACCAGCTTATCAAACTATTCAGAAAAACACAATTTTTTGACTAAGTACTCACAGGGGATTTTATCTACCATTCTAGATATCCAGTGCCAAATCATTTACTAAAGAAAACTCTGGTCAGATAAAACTTTCCTCAATCAATTGGGTCTATGAAAACTCAGATTTAATACATCATCCCTAAGTGGCCCTTGTTTCTATGCAGCAGGGGCACTCCTGCTGCTGGTAGTGTCAAATTTGCTTCTGTGGGAGAAAACTGCATCAATTCCTGAATGTCACCCAGAAGAGGGGCGCTGCTGGAATCCCCTTGTGAACACATTTAACAATGCCATCCAGCGAGCTGAAGTCATTCATGTTCTTGCTGAGCAAATGCATGAAGAGTTTGTAAGTATATCAACATCCATGCTAATGCTTGAATTTCACTAGTAATTGAGACACTAATCATCATGATTCAAATATCAACAAAAACACCTTTGTAGGATGTTAAGTAGGATGTACCAACTACTGATATGGAATTCTCATTTCCTGTTGTTGCATTTAGGATCATGAATTTCCACTGACCATGTTCTTTTAACACACTGTGGATATTCACTGTTCCAGATGTGCACTACAGTGAAGTATATATTTGTAAAATAGAGAAACTGAAGTATGTGAAGAAGAAAGAAAGAAAGAAAGAAAGAAAGAAAGAAAGAAAGAAAGAAAGGAAGGAAGGAAGGAAGGAAGGAAGGAAGGAAGGAAGGAAGGAAGGAAGGAAGAAAGAAAGGAAGGAAGAAAGGCAAGAAAAGAAAGGAAGGAATGAAGGATAGAAAGAAGGAATGAAAGAGGGTAGTAGGAAGGGAAGGCAGGAGGGAAGAAAGGAAGGAAAAAAGAAAAAAAGAAGGAAAGAAGGAAAGAAAGAAAGAAAGAAAGAAAGAAAGAAAGAAAGAAAGAAAGAAGGAAAGGAAGGAATGAAGGGTGGAAGAAGGAGGGAGGGAGAGAAGGAAGCAAAGAGGGAAGGAAGGAAGACAGAAAGAAAAAAGAAAGAAAAATAAAAAGAAATGAAGGAAGGAAGGAAGGACAAAATAGAGCCTTTCTTTCCTATCGTTTTAAAAATTGGATATTTTCTTTATTTACATTTCAAATGTTATCCCCTTTCCCGGCTTCCGTTGTCTGCAGAAACATCACATTCTCTATCCCCCTGATTCTATGAAGGATGTTCCCCCACTCACCCACTCACTCCCACCTCCTGCCCTGGCATTCCTCTACACTGGGGGATTGAGACTTTACAGGACCAAGGGCTTCTCCTTCCATTGATGCCCAACAATGCCATCTTTTGCTACATATGCAGCTGGACTCAAGGGTCCCTCAATGTGTACTCTTTCGTTAGTGGTTTAGGCCCTGGGAGCTCTGGAGGTCTGGTTGGTTGATATTGTTGTTCTTCCTATGATGTTGCCACCCGCTTCAGCTCCTTCAGTTCTTTCTCTTACTCCTCCATTGGGGATTCTGTGTTCAGTCCAATGGTTGCCTACTAGCATCTGCCTCTGTATTTGTCAGGCTCTGATAGAGCCTCTCAGGAGACAGCTATATCAGGCTCCAGAAGCCCCTAATTGTTAGAAATTGTGGTTTAAATATTTTCAATGATAAAATTTGTCCAATATCAGGGCAGGAATAGAAGTATATCCATTGTTTTCTTGCTCATAGCTACAGGTCATTTCTCAAAGTCAGAAAGTAAAAGAATGACAGAAGTAGGGAAATCTATATGATGGACATCAAGAAAATGTGTTTCTGTTTGCAATAAACATGTCTTCATGTTAGTTTATTATTAACTAGTTGTTATTTTTTTCCTTAATATGACTCAGTACCACAACCCATTCTCATCTGGACAATTTACAAAACTTGTAAGTACCTCATTTTTTCTAGTTGCTCCAAATGTGATCCCATCCTGTAAATGATTGCAACTTAGATGAGAAAGCATTATACAATATTTATATGTTCTATTCTTAACTGACAGTTCTTCAATGTCTTCCCCTTCACAATAATCCATTAACCTTTGAGGAAATAGCTAATTATTAGAAATAAATAATATATTCTAAAATATATTTAAGTAAATTTAATACAATTATACAATGATTAATCCAACACACAACATGAATTGATAATTTTTATATTTTGTTGACTTAGATTTATGTAAAGTTTATGGTGAAATATTCTATTTGTGAGTAAGTTTTTCATGATACACACAATATCATTCTAAAACTATTATAAACTGTACAACTATATATATTTAGTATTACATTAATAAATATCCAATTATGATATCTGGAAAAGAACATATTAGTATTTATTGACTCAAAATACGAAGGGAAGGCTAATAAACATATTCTAAGACTTTGTGCTGATATATTAGAGAAAGATGATAAATAAATCATTCAGTACTTGATAAATTTACTCGTTTCATTGTCTGGCTTTCAAATAGTAACTTTTAGGAAAGTTGAAAACAAGAGAAATACAGGAAGAATTTAAATATTCAAAAGTTAGTGAAAAACCAAACTAAGCTGTAAACACAATAGATAGACACAGAATTAGGTAATTGACACTTTCTTAATTTCTTAATATTTGTATTTTATGAAGTACTTATTATAATTTATAAATTCAGTAAACTATATTAGCATTCTGGTCATCAGTTCATTTATATAATTTCTGATCTCTAAACTGAATTTTTGTTTTTATTTGTAGGTTGCACGAATGTTTAGGCGTGATCAGGCTGTTCTCAGAGCCAGAAACCATTGCCACTCTAACAGCACAAACCCACCAGATCATGGACCTGAACACGAAAATATCAAAGTGAGTGTCCTTCATGGTTATTTCATAAAACACTGAAAGTAATAAACTGGACGTGTAGTGATGTCAGTTATGGCAGGCATTATGACAAATTTAGGAATCATGCATGCAGAAAAAAATGGAGGTGAAATATAAAAAATAATCACATTATATTGTTGAAAAATTATAAATAAAATCAAATACCCAATAACAGTGCAGCAGATACTTAAAAAGAATAGACCACTTAGAGGATGGTATTTTAGCAATGATTTGCCAATAAAATTTTAAATACTACTTTTTAGGAGGCTTTGAGATAAGATGGCTATCGATGATTATGTACTCACTCCTACATCAGTGATGACAATGTGACTGTATTAATTATGTGATGCTCGTGGCTTCTGCATGGGGGCATCCTACCTTACTGAACACTAGGCCCTTTCTTGATTTTCAAATCTGTCCTGATTCTATTTTTACCTGTCTCTTCATCCCTCTATGATTCTCTATCCCTTAACTGAAAACAAGGTGGGCAGAGTAGTCCTGTGAAATACTAGTTTATATTCCATAGGATGCAACAATGCTCAAATTCATAATGAAAAAATCTACTTATCATTGCTGTTCTATTTTATGATTGCTGTCATCTCCTCATTCTAATTCCCTGTAATAGCACATCTTAATATGATTTAATTTGCATAGTATTTGAAAACAATAAAAGAAAATGAGGACAAAGAAATGAGGAAAATTTTCTTGAGAGCTACAATGTTGCCAGACATGCCACAAAGTGCTTTTTTTTTAAAGTACTGCTATATATGCCCCTCACAAAAACTTAACTACAGATGGTATTATTTGAGGCACTAAACAAAAAATAGGTTTTGAAAAGTGGTGTAGGATATTTATACCTGCATAGACTTTAAGAATGCCAGTGTGCACTTCATCCAACTGCTGATCTCAATAACATAACAGCATCTTCATCACCTAACAGCATGCGCCCATATATTGGCATCACCATTTGCCTGCACCATCCCTTAACGTCCTTTACCTCTTTCCATTGTAAGGGATGTGATCTAGTCTATCCTCATATTCATGACCGCTGGGGAAACTAACAAACATCAATACAATGAACACATTAAATCAAATGTGAAATAGAGCAGCAAAATTCTGTTGTGATTTACACTGATTCTATTATTAAAGCCAATGCTTTGTTCTTCACCTACACATGTTAACTAATATTGTGCTTTGTCAGGGGAAATGAGAAAGCACATTAATGAGTACCATGCTCTCTTAATTGTATCTTTATTCTAATTTCTTAAATTAACCTGGAAATCATAATTGTGTACATTAATGAGTGCCATGACTTATTGGAGTGTATGAATCCCTGAGTGAAAATGATTTGAACCATTTGCCCACAGCTGGTGAATCTATCTTTCTTGAGTCAAATACTATTGGCTGATATTGCGTCGAGTAAAACCTCTTTTACCAACTGATAAACAAGTAACCAAATAAAGATATCGCTACAAGAAAGCTGTTAGAATTACATGGGACAATGAAACATAATGGCCTAACCTCAGAAAAACAGTAATTGATACAGATCATAATTTGTTTTACTTTGCAGACAATAGACTAATTTTTTAATATAACATCTATACAGCAGAGGTCATATATACATAGTAAAAATAGGTTGCAATTCAGCTTTTTTACATGGCATTACATGCAACAAACCTCTTGCACTGAAATTATTTCAATACCATGGTTTTATTGTGTTTTCTCAGACCAAAAAGTATTTAAAAACGTTGATCAATTATGTGGGTTCCTGGATCAGCCCTCTATTCCATCTAGTGCTTGAACTGCGTGCCATGCAAGATGTCCCTGAAGTTATCCTCTCAAAAGCTAAGGAGATAGAAGAAAACAACAGAGAAATCCTGGAAGACCTTAGGTGGATACTCACCCAGGTGAGCAATTTTCCATTAGTTATTCCCATTCATGAAGGAAATTGTATGTGTAAATAAAAAAAAATCCACAGTCAAACATAGATATCTGACCTTGTGGACAATCTTCCCCTAAGAGAGTGTTTCTCAACATGTGGGTCATGACTTCTTGGGGGGGGGCATATGACCCTTTCACAAGGACAGCATATCACATATCCTGCATATTAGATATTTACATTATAATTAAATACAGTAGCAAAAATACAGTTATATAACAGCAAAAATAATTTTGTTGTTGAGGTTACCACAGCACAGCATAAGAAATTACATTAAAAGTTCACAATATTAAAAAGGTTGAGAACTACTGCTCTACTAGGTTGCTTGCACCTCCAACACTCTCAGAGATGCTTCCCATCACCTCCCTCCCTGAGAATCAGAGTGAAACCAAGCTGTTCCTCATAAGCACTTGGAGAACACCTTTCCTGGATAGAGTGAAAAGAACTCAGGTCTTTCAATCATAGTCATCCCTTGGCTCTGAATATTAAACCACCATCTGATCCCCATCACATTTTCATACATATACTGCATAGAGGATGGATATAGTTGAAATGTATGAAAGAAAAGTGGTGCATATCAGCTTCTGTGAAATATATATGAAAAGACATGTAAGTTTCCCGAGTGAGAAACTGACATGAGCTCCTCCATTGTCCCAAAATCAAATAGAGATTTCCTACTTTTTTCTCTACTTCTGAAAGAGCATGCTTCCTCTGTGATCAATTACATGTTAGAACAAATGCACACGAGACTTCACCATGGATTCTAAAAGTCCATTTGAGAGTCTTTTTCCTTAGAAAATGAAAACCCAAAATTTTGATTGAAGTAGCACATTTTTTATTGGATATTTTATTTATTTACATTTCAAATGTTATCTCATTTCCTGGTTTCCTGCCTGAAAACTCTCAATCCCATCCCCCTCCATGCTTCTATAAGGGTGCTTCCCCACCCTCCCACCCACTCCCACCACACTGCTCTGGCATTCCCCTACACTGGGGCATCAAGCCTTCACAGGACCAAGTGCTTCTCCCATTGATGTCCAACAAGGCCATCCTCTGCTACATATGCAGCTGGAGCCATTGATCTGTGCATATGTACTCTTTGGTTGGTGGTTTAGTCCCTGGGAGCACTGGGGGGTCTGGTTGGTGGATATTGTTGTTCTTCCTATGAGGTTACAAACCCCTTTAACTCCTTCAGTCTTTTCCCTAACTCTTCCCTTTTGGGTCCCTGTGCTCACTCCAATGATTGGTTGCAAGCATCCTCATCTGTATTTGTCGGCTCTGGCAAAGCCTCTCAGGAGACAGCTATATTAGACCCCTGTCAGCAAGCACTTCTTGGCATTTGGAATATTGTCTGGGTTTGGTGTCTGTATATAGAAAGGATCTCCAGGTGATGCCATCTCTAGATGGCCTTTCTTCCAGTCTCTGCTCCACACGTTGTCCCCTTATTTCCTTTAGACATTTGTGAATGAATTTTTCTGACTGAATCCATAAGAAACAAGGAGAAAGGAACACTAACAATTCAACCAAGTAACTGTCTATCATTTTCATTTTCAGGTCTATCCTACAGCAAAGATAAAGGAAAAATTTCCCAGCTGGGAATATCTTCCATCCATAAAATCAAATGACAAAAGTGATAAATTTTTGGCATTTTTTAACATTTCTCACTGCCTACGCATCGATATATTCTACACTAAATATCATCTCAGAACATTGATGTGTCGCATAACTGGGAAAGATTGCTAAGTCCACGTATACGTATACATGGTCTGCTTGGTAGATTGTCCATGACAGTCCATTGCTGAGAACCTTCTTTAAGTTGTATACCTTTGGAATGCATATGTATGTGTAATTGGTCTCTTTTTAAACAATAAAATCCTTCTATTTAGAAGTGTCCAAATCTAAAAAGTCTCATCATTTTTTGTTCATTGAATAGAATATATATATATATATATATATATATATATATATATATATATATATATATATATATATAAAATCAGGCTGTACCATCAACTTATCACAATCTGAGAATTAAGCTTAAAAATATTTATACTTTACTTCAATAAATTCAAAATTTACTCCACAGAAAAGTAATGAAAGTCAAAGTTATTATAATCAAAGTATAAAACTCATTAACTACTCCATGTTTCCTAACCACAAATACAGTTTTTTAATACTTCTTGAAATCCTGACTGTCCTTAGGAAACAATGTTCAACTTGAATGCATAGCTCCTCCAATATAATTGCTGAGTGACTCCCTCCACAGCTTCAAGAAAACTTTGAGGAGATGAGGCAAGGAATGGACATAATAAAGACACACAGAATTCATGTGTAAAACCAAAAAGGTTATCTTTAAAAAAAATGAAACTTGGCTCTTGAGTGTTAGGTGCATCTTCTTTGACTAAGCCCAGACCCGGCAGTCCTCTACTGTATATGTGTTGGAGGCCTCATATCAGCTGGTGTATGCTACCTGGTTGGTGTTTGAGTGTCTGAGAGATCTCGGGGGTCCAGGTTAATTGAGACAGCTGGTCCTCCTACAGGGTCCCTGTCTTCCTCAGCTTCTTCCAGCTTTCCCCTAATTTGACCGCAGGGGTCAGCAGATTCTGTCCATTGGTTGGGTGTAAATATCTGCATCTGACTCTGTCATCTGCTTGTTGGGTCTTTTGTAGGGCAGTCATGATAAGTCCCTTTTTGTGAGCACTCTATAGCCTCAGTAACAGTGTCAGGTCTTTGTGGCCTCCTTATGAGCTGGATAACACTTTGGGCGTGTCTTTGAACCTTCCTTTGCTCAGGCTCCTCCCCATTTCCATCCCTGCAGTTCTTTCAGACAGGAACAATTATGGATCAGAGTTTTGACTGTGGGATGGGAACCGCGCCTCTCATATTATGTCCTGTCTGTCTACTGGAGGTGTGTTCTACAAGTTCCCGCTCCCTAATGTAGGGCCCTCTCTTTGAATCCTGAGAGTCTCTCACCTCCTAGGTTTCTGATACATTCTGGAGGGTCCCTTCAACCTCCAACATCCCAAGGTTGCATGTTTTTATTCTTTCTTCTGGCCATCAGGGATTTCAACCCTTTTTCCCTCACCCAATACCAGATCATGTTCCCCTCTCTGCCCACCACCCACCATCCCCTTTCCTTCCCAAGTCCCTCTCTCCCCCTGCCTTGTGGTTGCTTTCTTCTCCATCTCAAGTGGGACTGAGGCATTCTTACTTGGTCCCTTCAGCTTGATGACCTTTTTGAGTTCTAGGGGACTGTATCTTGGGTATTCAGTACTTTTTTTGTGTGTGTGTAATATCTATTTATTAATGAGTACATACTATGCATGTTCTTTTGGGTCTGAGTTACCTCACACAAGATGATATTTTCTAGTTCCATCCATGCACCTGCAAAACTCAAAATGTCTTAGTTCTTAATAGCTGAGTAGTATTAATTGTGTAAATTAACCACATTTTCTGTATCCATTCTTCTGTCATGAGACATCTGAATTGTTTCTAGCTTCTGTCTATCACAAACAAGGCTGCTATGAACATAGTGGTACATGTGCCCCTGTGGCCTAGTGGGACATCTTTTGGGTATATGTCCAAGAGTGGTATAGCTGGATATTCAGGTAGATCTATTTACAATTTTCTGAGGAACATCCAGATTAATTTCCAGAGTGGTTGCACCAGTTTACATTCCCACCAGCAATAGAGGGGTATTCCTCTTTCTCCACATCCTTGCCAACATGTGCTGTCACCTGAGGTTTTGATTTTAGCAATTCTGATTGGTGTAAGGTGGAATCTTAGGGTCATTTTGATTTGCATTTCTCTGATCACTAAGGACTTTGAACATTTCTTTAAGTCCTTCTCAGCCATTCGAGATTTCTCTGTTGTGAATTCTCTGTTTAGTCTACATCCCATTTTGATTGGGTTGTTTGGTTTTTAAGTGGTTAACTTCTTAAGTACTTTATGTATTTTGTATATTAGCCCTCTATCAGATGTGGGATTAGTGAACAATTTTTCCCAACCCTTTGGTTGTCAGTTTGTCTTATTGGTTATGCCATTTGCCTTACAGAAGCTTTCCAGTTCATGAGGTCTCATTTACCAATTCTTGATCTTAGAGCAAGAGCCATTGGAGTTCTGTTTAGAGAATTTACCCCTGTGCCAATGAGTTCGCAGGTCTTTCCCACTTTCTCTTCTATTAAATTCAGTATATTAGGTTTTATGTTGAGGTGGTTGATACAATTGGATTTGAGCTTTGTGCAAGGTGACAAATATGGGTCTATTTTCATTTTTCTACATACAGACAACCAGTTAGATCAGTAATTTGTGGAAGATGTTTTATTTTTTCCATTTTATAGGTTTGACTACTTTGTCAAAGATCAAGTGCTCATAAGTATGTAGTTTTATTTCTGGGTCATCAATTCTATTCCATTGATCAATGTGTTTGTCTCTGTACCAATTCCATGAAGTTTTTATCACTATTTCTCTGTAGTAAAGCTTGAGCTTAGGGACGGTGAGTTCCCCAGCCATTCTTTTATTGTTAAGTATGGTTTTCACTCTTCTGGACTTTTTGCCTTTCCAGATGAATTTGAGAATTGTTCTTTCCATGTTTTTGAAGAATTGTGTTGGAATTTTTATGGGTATTGCATTGAATTTATAGATTGCCTTTGGTAGGATGGCTATTTTTTACTATGTTAATTCTGCCAATCAACAAGCATGGAAGATCTCTCCATTTTCTGCGATCTTCTTCAATTCTTTTTCTTGAGAGACTTGTAGTTGTACAGATCTTTCACTTGTTTAGTTAGAGTGGCTGTTGTGACACGAGTTGTTTCCCTAATTTCTTTCTCAGCCTGTTTATCATTTGTATGAAGGAAGGCTACCGATTTCTTTGAGTTAATTTTATATCCAGCCACTTTGCTGAAGTTGTTTATCTGCTGGAGTTCTCTGGTAGAAGAAGCCCCATGGAGTTTAGAGGTCTGGTGGGGTAGGGGGTAGGGGTGGGGAAATTCTCATGGAAACAGGGGCTCAAGGAGTACTTATAGGAAGTGGGAAAGTCTGAGGGTGGACCAGAGGATAATAAAATCAGGAGTTTAAAATAAATAAATAAATAAATAAATAAATAAATAAATAAATAAAACATTTTTTAAAAATGAAAATTGTTCAGAGCAATAGTGATAAAAAACTGCATGCCTCGGATCAGCCCATGTATGTTCTTTGGTTGGTGACTAAGTCTCTGAGAGCTCCTAGAGGTCTAGATTAGTTGACACTGTTTGTCTTCCTATGAGATTGCCAACCCCTTAACTCCTTCAGTCCTTCCCCTAACTGTTCCATAGGAATCCCTCATCTCAGTAAATGATTGATTGTGAACATCTGCATCTGTCTTAGTCAGCTGCTTTGTAGAGCCTCTTGGAGGACAGCCATGCTAGACTCCTATCTGCAGGTAAAACTTAACATCAGAAACAGTGACAAGGATTGGTGCCTGCCCATGGGAAGGATACCAAGTTGGGCCAGTTACTGATCAGCCATTCCTTCATTCTCTGCTCCATGTTAATACCTGTATTTTTTTTAAAAACAGGAGCAATTTTGGTATCTTAAAACATGAACAGGCATGACTATACCAAGGAAAGAAGCAGACATGACAAAGGAGGTACAAGATTAAGGACTGTATGAATGAATGGAAGAAAGTAAGAAAAAAAGGAAGAAAGGAAGGAAGGAAGGAAGGAAGGAAGGAAGGAAGGAAGGAAGGAAGGAAGGGAAAGAAAGAAAGAAAGAAAGAAAGAAAGAAAGAAAGAAAGAAAGAAAGAGAAAGAAAGGAGGGAGGGAGGGAGAGAGAGAAAAAGAAAGAAAGAAAGAAAGAAAGAGAAAGAAAGAAAGAAAGAAAGAAAGAAAGAAAGAAAGAAAGAAAGAAAGAAAGAAAGAAAAGAATAAGTGAGTGAATAAGTGGACAGACACATGTATGGAGGGAAAATTATGTACAAGAGAATGAGGTATGTTACATTTTCATAGAAATTGAAATACAGAAAAGTAGATCTGTTTGTAATTACTGTTGAGAGAAATAGTAATGATAGATGCTTCCCTACAAAGAAAAGACATGTACACTACTGAGTTGTGCCAGACCAAAAAGGAATGGCTAATATGAATGGTCTTCAAACTATCTAAAACATACAAAGGAAGGACATAGTTACCCACTATTTTTTATAGAGGCAGCATGACCACGATACCAAACAGAGACAGAGAAACAAAAACAAGGGCCATGAACTTGAAAAAGAGCAATGGTAAATGTGAGGGGCTGTAGGGCTGAAAGGAAGGGAGGAAATTATGTAGTTATATTATGATCTCAGACAAATAGAAACTATAATAAAATCACAAAATTATAAATCAATTTTCCTGATGAGTACAGAGGCACATACTATATATATATATATATA